CGTCTCGCATGCGCTCCAGCACGCCGACGCACCGTGCTCAACGATCACGGGAGATTGACCTGACCGATTTGAGCGACCGGCGCACCCATAGCCGCAGCCCTTGTCGGAAATTTCGGCGAGAAACGAGTTCAACCGACGTTCCATCAGCGATGCCAGCCGATGACATTTTGTTGAGCTCAGAGACCAGATTAAGCACATTCTACCTGGAGACAGCGAGCGCTCATCAGCATGTCTTTCCACGGGAGTCACTTTGACGTGGGATCCGAACCCGCCTCTCTCCGATCGGACCTTGCTCATGGGTCCGCTTCGCTCGATCACAAGATGACGCCTATCGAAACACTGTTTTCTCAGGATTTCACTAAGTCCGAGCAGGTTTCTATCCAGACAGTGCAAGTGCAGACGGAGTTTGCCCGAGCGACGGGCATCATGCACGGGGTGAGGTCAGCTCTCTCGAGGGGCGCGGCGACCATGTACACACCCTCCACCAGTAGTTCCACGCCACAGCCGTTTCTTCGGAGACCCTGGTCCGGCTGTATTTTCCAGACAGGGCCACGAATTACGTGGCGCGGTACAGCTTCAGATTGCCGCCCTTCGCTTTGAGGCTACCAACATCCAACAATATCTCTACATGAAGAATGTTGTGCCGCTCAGCGGTTTGCGTGTCCCCATCAGCCCATTCAAAAACAATCGTCAGGCGAGTTGCCTTGACGAAAGATGTGCATGAACATGGAATCAAGAAGTTTTTGAGGATGTGCTCAATGGAGAAGAAGGAAACGCAGAAGGAGAAGAGAGTTGAAGCTCTTCGGGAACTGTGCAGGGGGTGGAGCGGGTCTGGAAGGGTAGGTGGAAGGGGGGGTGGAGGGGGGGGTGGAGTAGGGGCTGCAGGGGGGGCGGGGGAGGGTCCAACGCCTCGCAGAACGCTCCCTCCAGACCCAGGGGGGGAGGGGGAGGGGGAATCCCCTCTCCGCAGGGGAAGAAACATGTTAACAGAAGGAGTTCCTTGGACCACTCACGCCCAGAGGGCGGGTGGAACGAAGCCCAGAGGCGCCCTAGCAACCTCCATCTTGCTAATGTTCCCGGTATGTGTTCCAGAGATGGAGCAGGACGTCTCCGAACTGTGTGTCGCTTGGGACCAGACCGCGCAGCTGGTTGCCGCTTCGGTTGGCGATTATTCGCCCCGTGAAAGCGGAAGTTCAGACCTGAAGGTTGCCGGCGAAGATCGACGCAGTCTTTCGCGAGCGAGATGCTGAAAAGACACGGACAGACGAGTTTCAGGCACCGGACGACGTGCGCAGCCTCGAGCGTCGTGGTGACCACTGCTCACGGGAGTCCGGCATGGCACGACGACCTCATCAAGCCACAGACGGGCCTACGCACACACTGCCACCAGCAGCTGCGACGTCTAGACGACCCTTGCCACGGGCACCATCCCCGACACGTCGTACGTCACCACAACCGACGGCCCCTCCTGAACAACCCAGGGAGGCCGCCCACAACGAAGCGAGTTAACCCATTCACTCCCGAATCCTTATCGGCTCCAACGCTATACGCACGGAGTGCACGCTGGGTGGCACACCAGTGCCCACCACGCCATTCAAGGAAGTCAATTTTCCCTCGCAGAACTCAGGTTCTTGAGCGGCAACAGTGTCTCCGCAACGTGGTCTGCAGGGCGATTGATCGACCCGGCGCCGCCGCCTCCCAGTTCTTGCGCACCGTCGACGGCTCGAAAACTACGATGGTAGATCTTCAGGGTAGCGGTGATTTCGCAAGTTGGGACTGCAAGTTGGTTCTTGCTGCCACGACGCCCCCATCACGGACCTAAGCCAAGAAATCCAACTACTTCGAAACCAGGAGCACAAGCACGGCAGCATGCGGAAACGTGAACACATCGATTTGGTGTGATCCCCCAGTCCTGCAACGTAATTGAGATCGAAATCACCATCCACGGCACCAGATAAGTTCCGCTCGCATGAAGGACGGCGGCCTGCGCTAGCTCTGTATAGACTGGGGCACCCTCCTCCTCGATCTCAAAGGAGTACCTCGTCGGAGCATCATGGATAATGAAGGACATTAGGGACAGAGAGGAAAGCAAAAGTACATGCTGGATCAATTCAGAATGAATGTTATGTTTAATGTGCGATGATTGTTATAAGTTGTCTTCCAAGAACTTAGAAGGAGAGAACATACAATTAAAATGGGATCCTTGTGTTGCTTCCACGACTGGCTCCGCAAGGGAGCCAAGGCCCAAATGAGGCGTTCCAAAAAGGGCCTTTCCTTCGAGGCTCGAAGGAGTTAACATCTCTTCCTCGGCGGAAGGCGGCGGTGGAAGGTCGGCGGAAATAAAACGAGGCCGCCTCCACCGGCGGAAGCCGGCGGAAGGCTGGCGGAAGGCGGCGGAAGTAAAAAGTTGCCCTCCAAGAGATGACAACCTTTTTGGGCTCAGGGTTCCGCAATCTGCCAAACGGAACTCAGCTGTGCCAAGATGGGCAAAGCCGGCCAGAACGGAGGCTCCGAGGCCACCAATTCTCTCCATGTCGTCGAACGGCAGGCAGCTTGCGCTGCGCGCAGGAGCGGCGAGTGCAAGGACGGATGGCGCCGCGCGCAAACTCCTGGAGGCAGACTCGCGCCCTCCCCGTGGCACCCACTCCCGGCACTCCGCCGTGACACCATGCCCGCCCGCTCCCTCGCAGCCACGACGCGGGCAATCGCCCGCTCGCGGCGGAGCAGGCACCGACTGCTCCTCTCGCGCATTCGCTGTGCCGGGCGCCAGTCATCGGGCCGGGCGAAAGAGGGGGATAGCAAAGGGGGGGTTTGAGAGTCAGCTGACGTAGCTGATCTTACCGGCGCCTCCAGGCGCCGGGAGGCGCCCCATGTATCGAGGAATGGGCCCGGCGGCGGGGCCGAAGCCAGCTGCATGCGGCAGATTTCGTAACCCCCCCTTTCCCAACCCCCCCCTTTCGCCCGACCCGAAGTCAGCGGGTGCCTGGCGAATGCCGCCGCCAGCATGTGCCCGCGCTTGCCAAGGAGCGGCACGCGCGCCAAGGGCACGGCGGGGCACCTCCGCCCACTGCGCGCCAGGGCACCGCGAGCCCACCGAGGAGGAGGAGGAGGAGGAGGAGGAGGAGGAGGAGGAGGAGGAGGAGGGGAGGGAGGGAGGGAGGGGAGGGAGGGAGGGAGGGAGGAGGAGGGAGGGAGGGAGGGAGGAGGAGGAGGAGGAGGAGGAGGAGGAGGAGGAGGAGGAGGAGGAGGAGGAGGAGGAGGAGGGAGGAGGAGGAGGGAGGAGGAGGAGGAGGGAGGAGGAGGAGGAGGGAGGAGGAGGAGCACTGTAAGGCAGGGCAGCCGTCCCCCCACACTCCTCCGCCACCCCAATCTCGACGGTCACGATCGGACATTGGTGCATGTACGTTACCAGTGGCGGGCTGTTTTGCAATCCCAGGAATCTGGGAGGGTCGGGCGTCCCTCTTCCTCCCTCCCCCCTGGCCTGGCCTGGCCTCGCCTCTCGTCCCCGCTCGTCGTGCGTTCCTCCCTTCCCCACCGTGCGTCCTTTCTCCCTCCTTTGAAGCACAGCAGAATTATGCATGCGCATCCACAGCCTCGTTCCGCAGCTTGCAGGGCGGATGCCGTCAAAGACGGGGTCCCGGCCCATGCCCGGTGCACGTGCCCATGGGCTGCCCCAGCCTACGGCTTGACCTGACCTGACCTGATCTGGGAGGGTCGGGGGCGACGTCGGGGTGATGTGGTGTATCCTTGTTTCCCCCGTTTTTTCCCGTGGAAGCAACGACAAGCGTATACACCAGGATCCCGCATACGCCAGGATCCGCTTTCTTGTGCGAGCGCCAGTGCGGGGCCGGAAAAGGCGTCGGCGTCTGGAGCTCGGCTCCTGGCAGCTGCCTCGGGGCCCCCGGGGGCTCGCGACGTCCTCACCGCGGCCGATCCCCGCCACCCGGAGCCCGGGCGGCGCTCGCCGCGGCCGTAGCCGCATCGCTGGCCGCGGCCGGAGCCCCCGTCGCCCCGCCTGCCGCGCCCGCGGTCGTCCCGCTCCCCGCGGAGCCCTCGACCGCTCCGACCCGGCCGCCGCTCTTCCAGCGGCGGCCGGGTCGCCAGGCAGCTCCGCGCGGGGCGGGCCGCAGCCGGTTCCCATGGTCTGTGCCGACGGGGCGGTCTGGGCTCGCCATCGGGCCACCGAGCAAGCGCAAGCGCGGCTCTGGGGAGGTGCACGGCACTCAGATGCACGCGTACACCGTCCAGAACAAGCTGCACAGGCCCCGACCGTTCCCCAACCAAGGGGTGCCCTGTTCGAAGGGGCCCCAGGACACACAAATAAATACACACAAATAAAACTATTCCCCATATTTTCTCATATTTTCTGGATATGCGTCTTCCCCCCCACTTCCAATATTTTCCCATATTTTCTGGGACATCGACGATGAATTGTGTCTGTGTGTTTCTTTCCCTCCTGACTGTTGTCGCACACACGCCACTACCTCGCGAGCGGATGCTCAAATATCAAGCAGCAGCTGACGACGCAGTCCAGCAGCTTCTCAGTTGGCGCCGACCTCCCCGACCGTGCTGCGCTGGCACTCACCGAGGCCTCCGGGCGCACGCCGACTACGACTGCGTCTGCGCCGTCGGCGGCGGCGGCTCCGCCGTCCCCGCGGCCTGCCGCCCCTGCAGGGTCCCCGGTGCTGGAAGAGTGGACCAGCACAACGCGACGTGCGAGGAGGACCAGAACTTAGAGCCAAGAGGCCAGAAGTTCCGCAGTGCTGAATCTGATGTGGGGAAGCTCAAAATAAGAGGTAGCCTGACAAGATGCTGAGAGGATGGGGGGAGGAGGAGGAGGAGGTGGAAGGAGGAGGAGGTGGAAGGAGGAGGAGGAGGCAGGAGGAGGTGGAAGGAGGAGGAGGAGGAGGCGGAAGGAGGAGGAGGTGGAAGGAGGAGGAGGTGGAAGGAGGAGGCAGATGCGAAGCCCCCTGTTGCAAGCAGCCCCTCACAGTACTGAGGTCCGCGCTGCTGCAGGAGGTCGGCCAGCTGGAGGAGGCGGAGTCCCTGTGCCGTCTCGCCCTCCAGGCCCGTCGCCCCGGGCGGGCCCCTCGGAGGCTCGGAGAAGGTCAGGAAGCACAGTGAACGGGGAGAGAGGGCACAGAGGAGGGAGGAGGAGGAGGAGGTGGAGGAGGAGGAGGAGGAGGAGGATGACGAGGAGGAGGAGGAGGAGGAGGAGGAGGAGGACGAGGAGGACGAGGACGAGGAGGAGGAGAAGAGGAGGAGGAGGAGGAGGAGGGGGGGAGGAGGAGGAGGAGGAGGAGGAGGAGGAGGAGGAGGAGTGAACGCACACGATCAGAGATACTGCTGCCAGAGATCCCGGAGCACCTGCCCATCTCCGAGGCGCTTGAGGTTTTCCAGAGCTGCTGTGGGTCCCCGGGGCCTTCGGGTGGTAAGAAAGCACAGTCGCCGGGCACGTGCTGGCAGGCCTGTTTCGTATCTGATGTGCCCACTGCGTTCGTTTCGCAGTTTTGCAGGTGCGTTTCCGGAGTTTCTTCATCGCCCCTTCCCTTCCCCCATCCATCCACGCCCCGGTTCGTCGTCGTCCTCGTCCTCCTCCTCCTCCTCTTCCTCCTCCTGCTGTCGGCGCCAGTGGGTTCCTCGGCTGGAGTTCCCACGACGTGGCAGCATAGCAAAAAAGACCGCCCAGTGCTGCTCCACCCGCCTCCTGCACGCACCTCGCGATTTTCACGATCCAGGTTCGGCGGCGAGCGAGGGGGGGAAGTGAGAAAGAGAAGGCCATCCCAGAAAGCAGCGTGACGTGTCAGCAGAAGCCATCGCGCCTTCTGAGCAGTTGTTATGTGTCTTCGGGGGAGGCCTAGAACACTTATCAGAAGGCCAGAGGACCTCCGAGCCTTCTAAGAAGGCCCGCCCTTTCTCACTTCCCTCCCGGCTCGCCGCCGATATGAGGTAGAATTGGATGATCACCAGCCCTGGCCTGCTCGGAATAACAGAGGCACCGATCTACCGAGTTCGCTTCTGGATCCAGGGCCTGTCCCCCGATTGAGAAGGAGCACGTTGCGCCGGTGGCTGCTGTCTGGGGGGCCCTTCGGGCACGGCCTCGAGAGGAGCTCCGACCTCGAGCTCCCAGAAGCCCCGCAGGAGATGCACCACCCGATTTCGCGGCAACCAGGCCACATGTTGTGAGCGCGGTGAGCGGAGCGGGCAAGTCGTGGAGGGGGGACAGGGGAAAATTGTAGGCTTGGCCCGAGAGGGCTTACGTCCAGCACACCAAGCACATGTAGAATGGTTGCCATGCTTCTCGACGCAGACACCACAGCCTCGTTCTTCCTGTGTGGCGGCCACACCATGGCGACGTCTGTGAAATCGTTCGCGCTGAGATCCTCCATGAGTTCTGCAAGGACCCTGCCACTCTGCTTAGAGGCACTGGCTGCACGCTCTCGGGCCGTCCTACTGCATGGGTTGTGTGCGTGTCCCTGAGCTCCTAGCTCACTCGCATGCACGCTTGCTACCGTACTACATCCAGGGATCAAAGCCGTCACGCCTAGCTCGACTGAGGGAGAGTTCAGATTGCATCTTGCTATGCCTGATGAAGTCCCAGCCGTGGTCCACCCCTTTCCAAAAGATCTTCTGCCAGAGTTCCGAAAAAAACTAGATTCTCAATGTCCTGATGTTGCAGTCCGTGCATACGTCGAGCTCGCCTGATCCCGCGAGCCTTAGGCACATCAAAGGGGCGAACACTTCGCCTGAGCTGGTCGCTTGACCTAGATTCGGGAGTGGTCCACGAATCGAGCCCACGATAACGACAGCACTGGAACTGAACGCCATGGCCTCGTCGACGACCCCCACCGCCGCACGACTTGCCCTGAAAGACTGAGGCAATATCGGATCCAGCCCGGACCCATCGATACACACTGATTGTTCAGACAGCTTCCTGGCGGGCGAACAGCACATTTCTAATTTAGATCCTCGAGAGGTTTGGGCCATTCCCACTCGTTCCTAATTCTGTCGGGGTGGACAGACCTCCCACCCTGACACGTCGATCAGCGAATTGGCCGTTTTCGGTTCGCGAGAGGGCGTCGCGGCCGTCATTTTTGCGGGTCCAGGTCCGTCGGTTTCGGTCCCAGGCCGTTTTCACTAAAGGGTGGTTTGCTAAAGGGAGGTTTGTCCACCGCCGATTCTGGTCCAGCCCTAGATGCGCTCGCGGAAGATCGTGCACTGGACAGCGGCAGAATGTAAGTCCCGCAGTGCCTCGCTCCTCTCCGCACCCACTGGCAAACATCCGTGATCACCACTGGCGGTTCTCAGGCAAGACTGACCGGGTAGTATGACCTCCTTCCACCACTCCTGGAATCCCCATGATCGCTGACCACCTTTTCTGTTTCTGAAGTGATCCGAGTTCTTCCAGGATGATGATAACAAAAAAAGAAACCTTCAGGGAGCCCATGGACCTTGTCTTCCGTGGCTGCACTTCGAAACAGACCGCTCCGCATTCTCCTCCTCCTCCTCCTCCTCCTTGCCCTCTTCTTCCTCCCTCTATCCCCGCCCCGTTTCCTCCTCCTTGCCCTCCTCCATCTCCTCCTCCTCCGCCTCCTCCTCCTTTCTCCTCTTCCTCCTCCTCCTCCTTCCTCGTCGCCCGCCTCCTCCTCCTCCTCCCCCTCCTCCTCCTCCTCCTCCTCCTGCGTGTCGTTTGCTCCTCCTCCTCCTCCTCCTCCTCCTCCTCGTCCTCGCCCCACCGACGTCGACGACGTCGACGATGTCGACGTTGTCGTTTCGGAGGTTCCTGAGTTGATGGAGCTTCTCGTCACCAGGGCCCGGCGCAGCTTGGAAGATGCGCCAAGACTGACCCCGGGAGGTGTCCAGGGGTCGGTCTGGGGCAGGCAAGAGGAAAGGGGCCCCCCGGCGACGTCGACGACGTCGACGACGTCGACATGTTCGTTCCGCATGCTTCCGGGCGTTCTGGGGCTTCCCGTCGCCAAGAGCCAGGACGCACCGCGAGCAGCGAGCCAGGACGGACTGCGGGAGATGCCCGGTGTTCGGTGCTGGCCGGGTCTGGAGCGAGAACAGGAGTCCTGGACCGACAGGAACCCTGGCTTGGCATCGCTCGGACGTGTACCTTTTCGCTTCGGCGAGGACAATCGAGGAGCATCCTTGATCATTTGGCGAAGAAACCACGTACGAAACCGAAAAAAACACGGAATGGACGTCCGAGCGATGGCGAGCTGGAGAGACGGGGTCCTGGCGGTCATTCTTTCTGCTGCCTGGGGATGGGCCCCAGGGCCGTCGGACCAGCGAAGCGCCCAGCCCGCGCCGACACCGACACCAGTGACTTCCTCCTTCATCCTCTTCCTCCTCTCTTCCGAGCATGTTATCCAGCTGCCTGCGGCAAACCCCACGAGACCGGGTGTAGGAACAGCGCAAGTCCGACGACCGGTTTGAACTGATTAGGACGGGCCGTGAACTCGACTTTGCCTTCGTCGGCGCGGAAGCAAGGAGGGTGAGTTCACGCCCCGCGACAGTGCAGCGAGTGGTCTGAACTGGGGGGGATCGTGATCTCGACTTCGTCTTCGTCCGCGCAGCATGGAGGAAGAAGGGGAGGAGGAGCGAGAGAGGGAGGAGGAGGAGGAGGAGGAGGAGGAGGAGGAGGAGGAGGAGGAGGAGGAGGAGGAGGAGGAGGATGAGGAGGAGGAGGAGGAGGAGGAGGAGGAGGAGGAGGAGGAGGAGGAGGGAGGAGGAGTGGAGGAGGAGGAGAGGAGGAGAGGAGGAGGAGGAGGAGGAGGAGGAGGAGGAGGAGGAGGAGGAGGAGGAGGAGGAGGAGGAGGAGGATGAAGCGGAGATGGAAAATGTGAAGACGAGGAGGAAAGGAGTCATGGGCCCCTTTCTTGGGGCCTCTGGAGTGCTTCCTGTGAGCCTCCTGAGGGCCTCTTGGGGGCCTCTTGGTGGCCTCCTGGGGCCTCTCGGGGGCTTCTTAGGGCCTCGTGGGCCGTCTTATGGAGCTCTTGGCTCGTCTGGCGTCTTCGATGGCCGTCTTGGAGTCTTCTCTGGGCCGTTTTGGTTCATTCGTGGAGCGCATTAGGGCTGCCTTGGGGCCCTCTTGGGAGCCTCGTGGGCGATCGTAGGGCCCTTTCTGGCTCGGACGACGCTCACCATAATGTTTTGGTTCGATGTCAGCCCTCTCAGGTCCAGAAGCGAGACTCGTTATGGCGTTCTGGTTCGATTTGGTCCAGAAGTGAGAGGCACTATGGTGTGCTGGCTCGGCTTGAGTTAAAGTTGCTGTCGCCAGAATTCCCCCGGGGGGGGGCTGAGTGTTTTGGCTCGGTTTCAGCCCTCGCAAATCCAGACATGAGACTCACTCTGGTGTTCTGGCTCAATTTCAGCCGCCGCAGGTCCAGACATTGTGGCAGGCGCATCGGATTCTCACCAGCCCAGCTGTCCTAGGTCCAGAAGGCGAGGCAGGGCCGTGAGCTTCTCACTATTCCAGTTGCCAGGAGAGTGGTCGCTCGGTCCTTAACGCTGTTTTTAGCGGTCGACATCACGAGCGTCACCCTCGTCAGCACGTTCAGCTCCGCAATCGTACTGGCAATATGATGAGGTCGTTTTCGCAAGCCGACGTTTCAGGGGCCCATCCGCCTCCACACCGTAGCTGCTATTCGGGTGCCTTGTTGGGGCGACGTCCTCCAACATGCGTTTTGGGTGGTCTCTTGGGGGTGTCCTGGGGCCTCTTTGGAGCCTCTCGGGTTGTCTTAGGGGGGCTATTCGCCCGTTTGGCGCCCGCGGGCGCCGTCTGGCGGGTTTCTCTGGGCCGTGTGGGGCGTTTTTGGAGCGCTTTAGGGGGCACGTTTGGGCCCCCCACGGAAGCCTCTTGGGCGATCTTGGTGTCCTCGTGGGCCGACTGAGGGCTCCCGTGCGGGCTCGCCTCGGAGCCATTTCGAACGCCTCTTGGGCCGTCTCGGGCGGTCGGGAAACCTGTTTGCTGGATCTTCGAGAACAGTTTCCCCCACACAACCTTGGGAAAATCATTGGTCTGGGTTTCTTCGGACTCTCCTGGAGGCCCTCTCGTAACCTTT